CAGAGCAATAAAAAGCAGCAAGCTGGAGCTGACAGGGGAGAGATCTGTATTATTTACATACAGACCTCTCCCCCATCAGTGATACTTAGTGGGGAATCTCTGACTGGAACCCAGTGATTGACAGCTGTAGCCACCAACGGCGGCTTGGATAGGGTGCATGCGTGCCCCCTACCCAAAAATACAAAATCACGTGTATATATATATATATATATATATATATATATATATATATATACACACACATGATTTTGCGCAGCCTTGTCGCCCTGTATCAGTAGTTCTGCTATAGGGTGGTTGGGAAGCGATTAAAAACCAAGTCTCATCTGCTGACAGTAGAATGTAAACAGACAATGCCTGCAAAGAAAAAAAAAAAAACACACAGCATGATGCCCCCCCTCCGCAGACCAAACCAGGCCATTCGGGTCTGGTATAGATTTTAAAGGGAACCCCACGCCAAAAATGTTTAAAAAAATGGCATGTGGTCCCCCCTCCAAAATCCATACCAGACCCTTATCTGAGCATGCAACCCGACAGGCCAGGAAAGGGGGGAGCAGATGAGTCAGGGTTGTTAAGATGGGGAGGCTGGTCACCCGCTCCTTAACAACCAGCTATTATCGAATCAATTTGGATCATTAGTTTCATTCAGATGCTTCAAACATTTGAATGAAATAAATTATTTTGTTGTTTCATTAAAAGTCATTATTGTTGTAATTCAGAATTTCAGATACGTCCGAATCTCTGAATTTCTATTCAGATCAAAACAAACCGCACATGTCTACTAGGCAGGTGCAGTTAGCCTTCTCACCTGTAGGTGGTCTTTTGCCTTTATTACACGGGAAGGGGAATTTCATAAGGGAAGTGGTTCCTTAGAGATTCTGTATAGTGCCTTGAGAGAGGAAGGTAGTTTGATTAGACACAGAAGGAGAGAAATCAGTGAGGGAATCTGTTAAATAAGGGACCCCCCATCATTTTGGCACATTTCTGGTGAGTGTGGTAGGAAGGGGAACCTGCTTGTGAGGGACAGTGCTTAGCACCTTAATTTCTGTTGAATCCGGCAGTGTCTTCTTACCAGCTACCCCGTGTATGAGATTGCTGCTTTTCTGATTACACATTGCTGAACCTTGTTGCTGACTCTTTCATTGTTATTTGCCTTGCCTGCCATGACCTCAGCTTGAACCTTGACCATTCACTTGCTCACCACCTTTTTCAACCTTTACCTGGATATTGACTATTCCCTTACCTGCCTCAACCTCTGCGTGGACAATGACCACTCTTGTGCATACTGCCTTCCCTGACATCTTCCTGGACATTGACTTGGTGCCTCAACCCATCCTATCGCCTCAATGTAGCCCACCCTGCTCCTGTGTCCCATGGTAGGGCAAAGCCGAAAGACCACAAACTGGTGTCAGCTTGCAGCAAAGTAGCCAGGAGACTCATTAGGATCACCAAGCCATCATTCATCGTGAGGTGCTCGGATGAAGACCACATACACTTTGCACCTTGGGGAGCCCATGTTACCTGCCAGGGGTATCCCCTAACAAATTTAACTGAAGCCTCTTATCCTCTTTCTCCTAAAGCATAAAAAAGGCAGTTAAACAATGTATTAAATGTCAGTTGTAAAATACATGCATCCATGTAAACTTTTCAAGTCCCTTGTCCCCTTCGTGCTGCCAACTTGAGTAGGGTCATATCCTGATCTGCCTGCGCCAATCCTGCGCATGTGAACCCAGCGCACTAGTAAAGACAATGTAAACACCGACAATCCTATGGCTTCTATGTTGCTGTTACTATAGCAACATTTAAACCAAATGATTCCCTGCTAGAGTGTTGTAAATTGCATCATGCGCACCCAATGATCTAGCTGACAATCATTTCATTTACATGACATAGGCATTGAAAGTGGTGCAAACCCTACGCATGCACGGGTTTTATACTAGCCGGCATAATTTTCTTCTAGATGAAAAATGAGGAAGACGGTAGCAACCTAAAATGAAGAAAAAAAAAATTATATATATAGTATTCCCAGTTTGGATAAACAGTAGAATTAAGCAATTCAAAAAATGAGGGTAAAGGTCTATTTTAAGTTTTCACAATATTGTTACTTCATTTTTTGGTTAAGGATGGAGTATTAAACCAGTTGACAGCTCTATGTCTAGGTCAGTGTTTCTCAACCTTTTTTCAGTCAAGGCACCCTTTAAAATTATGGACAGTCCCGAGGCATCCTTTAAAATTATGGACAGTCTTGAGGCACCCCATTCTAAAATGTGAAAAACTATTCGAATAGTTTTATATACCACAGCAACATCAACACATGTAGGACACCCAACATTAGAGGTGAGTTATTCTTCCAAAGCAAATACACTTTTGCACACTGGTACTGACTAGTATTCCAATGTTTCTCTTATCCCTCAGTTTTTCTCCATCACTGAGCTAATGTGACCCCAGCACTGATGGAGAGGGGAAGGTCAGACTAGGATGCTGTGCAGGCAGCTGCCATCCTCCTTATCAACTGATGATGTCATTGGTTGTCAGGACGCCAGCGGCTAGAAGGTCGTAATGGTGCACAATGAAAACCTGTGACTTTATGTAACTAAAAGGCGGGCTTGTTCCACCCGCTGGCTTGTATACAAGTTTTGGGCAATTTTCAGACATTTTGCTAAGGCACCCCTAAAGAAACCTCAAGGCACCCCAGGGTGCCTGGGCACCCTGGTTGAGAAAGGCTTGTCTAGGTAACTGCGGTTCTGGATCCTGCTCTGACCATTATGAAAGGGCCTTGGTCTCCCTGTTGTGTTTTTTATTTATTTTACATTATGGAGAATGCATGAGGAGGACCTGGAAATCTCAAAGTTAATGGGAACACTCAAGCCTCCCAGCTGGACTTGAACAAAGTGAGAACATATTGCAGAGAGATCTCACTGTTGGAGAATTCGGAACACATTAAGAACCCTTTCACACACTCTTTTCAATGTTACTGCCTGCATGTTATTTCGCACATTACGGCTACATTCACACAAGCGATCACAAATGGAAAGCAGACTCCTGCACCAAGAATTCTAGATGTAACCAAACATTTGTCACCATAAAGACTGTACAGTGCAATCTGATCTTTGGTCCCTAACCACATGTGTGATTACATGTGACAGCTGCAACCTGTCATTCCTTTGTACAGGCTTCCTTGCTGTTGTTGTTGTTTGTATACACCTGTGATCCCTTCTTATGAATCTGGTTGTCCTTTGTAACTGCCCATGTGAATTTTGTTAAGGCAACCCACTCATTTGAATAAGCTAACAAAGCAAAAAAAACAATTTTAAAAAATAATTCGGGAAGCTTTTCTTTTCTTTTAACACAGTGCATCAAAATGCACATATAACTCCCATTTGAGAACTGTGGTGCGCTGAAATGCACATGCATTGAGGTGCATTTAAAATCAATGGCACCACGATGCAGCACAGTGAGGACAGTGTAATGGTGTGTTGCCGTAATGTTCAGTAAATTGGTATGAAGTCAACCTAAAAGACCAGAGCATATTCAGTTTACCAGGCTCCACCTTGAACTAAAATATCATGGTTAACCCTTTAAAATATTGTGATTGACAAATCAATTGTAAAATAAAGATAAACCCAAACTTAGGTTTAGACTACTTAGAATACCACAATGAAATTAAATTTAGGTTGGCAGGAAACTATTGCTGTTCCTTGGAAATATATTGGCCCTTTTATCCTATTGGGGAAAAGACTGCTTCTTGGCTGTCACTGCTGATTGAAAGAATTAAAAAGAAAGCTGCGTGCACCAGGGCACTATTTTACCGCAATCTTTCATGTGATGATAACATTTTTTACTCTAAAAGCAGGAAGGAAACTGTACCATGCACGCCTTCCTTTTTTTGCTGTTTTACCCACATATGTTACCAGCATTTTGTTTAAAATTACGTTTCTTTTTTAAAACAACCAAAAAACAAAAAAATCTTTTTTTTTTATTTCTGTTTTGGCCATACAAATGTAGTGAATGTAGTAAAAAAAACAGACTGGGGGACACGGATTGATTGATATGATAGTTGCATATCATTGATCATGCAATTTGCATGCAAAAATGTTAGACGTGTTCAGCAACACCTTTTAAATACATGCAGATATGTTTATTTTCAATAGTGGCTAATATTTATTCCTCAAATCAGGAACAGATTTATGTTTTTTAAGAAATTTACATGGGTGTAAAAAAATCTACTGATCCTATTACACGTTTTTTTCTAGGAGAAACGTCCCGCAATGCGCAATGATAATTGGATTTATAGTGTTACAGATCTGAACACGGTGCATGTTTATGTACCTGTGTGAATGTCTCTATTGAAAATAATGCAGATCTGTAAATAAGCAAAAGCTTGTAAATGTGTTTTTTTGGGGTGTGTGAATGAAGCCTTAACCACTTGCCTACCAGGCACTTATACCCCCTTCCTGCCCAGGCCAATTTTCAGCTTTCAGCGCTGTTGCACTTTGAATGTCAATTGCGTGGTCATGCAACACTGTACTCATATGAAATTTTTATAATTTTATTGAGACAGATAGAGCTTTCTTTTGGTGGTATTTAATCGCCACTGGGTTTTTTATTTTTTGCTAAACAAACCAAAAACAACTAAAAAAAATAAATTTTTTTTTTTCTTAGTTTCTGTTATTTTGTAAATGAGCGATTTTTCTCCTTCATTGATGTGCGCTAATGAGACTGCAGTGATGAGCACTGAGAGGCGGCACTGATGGGCACTGATGAGGAGGCACTGGTAGGTGGCACTGATGGGCATTGACAAGCATCACTGATGGGCACTGAAAGGCAGCACTCATATATGGCACTGATAAGTGGCACTGACTGGCACTGATAGGCAACACTGACTGGCACTGGGGTGGCACTGACTGGCACTGTTAGGCAGCACTGATAGGCAGCACTGATGGGCACTGATGCGCACTAATGGGCAGCACTGACTGGCACTAGTAGGTGGCACTGATTGGCAGCACTGACTTGCATTGATAGGTGGCACTGATAGATGGCACTGAAAAGCAGCTCAGATGGGCACTGATATGTGGCATTGATGTGCACTGGTAGGCACTAATATGTGGCATTGATGTGGCACTGATGGGCACTGGCAGGTGGCATTGATGGGCAATGACAGGCGGCATTGATGGGCACTGACAGATGGCACTACTGGGGCTACACTGATCATCAGGGCACATTGATTATCAGTGCCCTGATGATCAGTGTACATGTCCCCTCTGAGTACTACCTATTGCCGGCTCTCCTAACGAGCTGTCAGCGTGACAGCTTGTGAGGAGAGAAATGCCGATAACCGGCATTTCCTTATTTACATGCGATCTGCTGTGATTGGACACAGCTGATCACATGACAGAGCCGACGTCTTCGGCTCTTTCCGTTGATCCGCTCTGTTAGAGTGGGAGAACATCATATGACTTCATCCCAGAATGAGAGAACCGCCTTGCGTCCGTCATTTCATATGGCGGGCGGGAGGTGGTGGTTAAAGTGGTAGTAAGCTGGAAATAAATAATTTAGAAAAAAATTTCTCCCGCACGACAACGTTATAATGTGGTAGTATGCACTTATCTTAAATCGAAGCCCTCTGGAGATGCGCTGTCACCGTTGACAGTGCTTCCATCTTCACCTGATCTTCTTTTCCGGTGCATGAGCTCCAATCCTTTGAATGACAAAGCCACAGTGACGTCACTCCTGTGCATGTGTGCGGGAATCACTGTTTACAGCACACAGCTTTGAAGGAACGGCATGGGTATGCCGTTCCTTCAGAGTGCATGCTTCGGCTGCAACAAACTTAATATCTCCTAAATGGTGCACGTTTAGGAGATATTTGCAGCACCTACAGGTAAACCTTATTATAGCTTACCTGTAGGTAAAACATTAAAAATGGACTTTACAACCACTTTAAGCAAGCCATAGATTATACAATTTTTGTTCCTGCAATCTCAGGTTGCAGGAAAGAAAAAATGCTCGATTCCCTTATCACAACATTTAGTGTTGATGGGGGAATCACTCCCGCAGAGTTTTTGTATTCTGACAGTGGGAGGTTTCCCAGCCATCAGAATACAATGATTATTGCTGGTGGCTATAGCCACTATCAGTGATCGAAAAAAAAAAAAAAAAACACAAGCTGGTGGCACTGAAGTCAATTGAGCGATCAACTTCAGTACAACCAGCCTGCTCTTACATGGATCGAAATTAGTCTGGTTCCTGTTGAACAGGCCGAATTTCAATCCATTTATGGCCGGCCAAACTTGTAGATAGAAATGAACAATACCACAGTTTAGATAACTCTGGGTTTAGTGGAGTATATATACATCATTAAAAATGATTTTGCTGGGTGTGATTTCTTTTATAAATGTTAGTTTTGCTTAGTACTCTTTAAAAAAAATTGTATCTGCATTTGTATACATATAATATATTATATTAAATGTACATTTATTATATTATTATTATTATTATTCTTATTATTATCGTCTTGAAAGTATTTTATTAAACCAATCACTAAAGTCACACATAAGATATAATTGAAATCTGCATCCTTCATTAATAGTAATGTAACCAGGGGCGGACTGACAACTCATGGGGCCCCCGGGCAATAGGGGATCATGGGGCCCCTGTGTCCTTGCCCAAAACTCAAAAAAGCCTATGAAAAAGGTACCAGGGGCATCTCATGGGGCCCCCTACTGACCCTGATGGTCATAATAAAAGTTCCTTAAAATAGCACTTCTTTCTAGGGCATGACAATGCTTTCTTTCTGTCTACCAGTTGTGCTGCTGCATTGTTATCCTGTCACACAGGCTTCCAATGGAAACTACAAGTGTTTTTTTCAGGACACGTTACACCACGGGTGTCAAACTGGCGGCCCTCCAGCTGTTGCCATACTACAAGTCCCATGAGGCATTGCAAGATTAACAGTTACAAGCATGACTCCCAAAGGCAGAGGTTTGATGGGACTTGTAGATTTGCAACAGCTGGAGGGTCGCCAGTTTGACATCCCTGGGTACACAGACATGGTCCACTGTTGTTACCATCAGTAAACCTGCCCTGGAATGCAAGCAGAAATGGTTGCAGAAAGGATTCAGGAGATCAGCAGCACTGATGTGCGAAAAAAGGAGTTACACATATAAAAACACGTATTTTAATAAAAGACACAAGACGGTGCTTTAGCAAACTTAGGTAAGCCATAGATGTTTCAATTTTCTTTCCTTCCACCATGGTTGGAAAGGAAAGAAAATCACTTGATTCCCCCATCAACACAGTCAGGGTTGATAGGGGAATCCTTCCCACAGTGCTATTGTGTTCTGCCAGTGGGGAGCCTTCCCAGCCAACAGAACACAATGATTACTGCTAGTGGCTATAGCCGCCAGCTGTAATCGCATGTAAAAATTCCAACAGGCTGGTTGTACTCCAGATGATTGACTGGGGTACAACCAGCCTGCCTATAGATGGATTAAATCTCTGTGACTGACAGCCTTAGCTCTGTTCTTGTGTGTTGTTGTGTGTGTGTGTGTGTGTGGGGGGGGGGGAGGAGTGTCCCTTCCCACCCATCCGCTTCCAGAGCTCTTCTCACTGAGTGCTGCAGAGTGTAATTTCAGTTCCCTGCCTCTGCATTCTGACAGCTCAGACAAGCTTTATAGATTCTGCACTTTAAACGGATGTAGTCATATGATTCATGCAGATAAACAGGTACAGCTTATGTAGGAGGATTGGTTTCATCTGTATATCACCTGAGACCAGTCACTTCAATGGGTATATGTAAAAGTTTACAACCACTTCAAGGATTTATAGGAAAGTTGAAGAAATGCTGGGATATGGGGAAAACATAACACCAGACAGGCATTTTAAATATGCACATAATCAGTCAAGATACACCAATGTTATGAACTGTCTCACTTTCACCTCTAATTAAATAATGATATCATTCAAGGGAACTTCCAGAAGAATAACCAGAATAAAAAACTTACAGTAGACCTTGAACCTGAAAAGCAAGGTCTGTTTTTAAAGTGTTACTAAACCCAGGACCCTGCATTCACTATATCTGGTCTCCCACAGTACACAGAACATGGAAATGCAATTATTTTAGTGAATATAAACTACTAAATACTTTTTCTCATTAGCAGTTAGAGCAGTCTTGTGACTTCTATCAGCAGGAGTTTTCTTCCTGCTCTATGAGGATGCAGAACCCCTCTGTCTGGACAGTGCTGATTGGTCCTGTGCTGATTACATGCACTGTCCCAAGATAAAAAAAAAAAAAAAAAAAAACTCTCTAGCAATACACACCAAACTGAGCATGTGCAGAGTGTTTATACACAATATGTCTTATGAGGAGATAAGAGGGGGACACTGGAAGGGGGGACACTGGAAGAAGGGGAGGATCAGAGAAGTCAGAATCAAGCAGGTTCCATAGTGAGTATATCAAGCATGCTTTACTGCATATACAGACTGAATTTACTGTTGTGGGTTTAGTAACACTTTAAAAGAATAAAAAAAGTCTATTTACTGATCTCCTAGATTGTAAGCTCCAAGGAGCAGGGCCCTCCTATCCCTCTTGTATTGAACTGTATTGTTGCTGTATTGTCTCCCGTTATATTGTAAAGTGCTGAGCAAACTGTTGGCGCTATATAAATCCTGTATAATAATAATAATCAATACTTGGAAGGCTGCTGGCACTCACATAATCGTGCAGCTCCAGGTCCAGAGCAGCTTGTTGAGAGCTGACAGCATCCTAGAGCAGTGACATCACCCCAATGCTCTGAATGAGTCTGCTCTCACCAGCCACCCAGGACCCAAAGCTGTGCTGCAATAAGAAAATAAATCACACAGCAGAAGCAAAAGAATGTTACATCCAGGGGCGAAATGACCATTTGGAAACTCGGGCACTGCCCGAGGGCCCGGGGTCCGTAGGAGGCCCCATGAGATGCCCCTGGTACCTTTTTCATAGGCTTTTTTGAGTTTGGGCAAGGACACAGGGGCCCCATGATCCCCTATTGCCCAGGGGCCCCATGAGTTGTCAGTCCGCCCCTGGTTACATCACTATCAGCTGTGTGGCAGGATACTGACTGGTGACAGTGGGTAAAAAAAAATAATTATTTTTTTTAATATTACATTTTATTTTTTTTTTAACGTACTGTTATCAGAGTAGTTCAGTATCACCACAGTGACTTTTTGATGATCACTGTAACAGCAATCATTTGAACTGTCATGAATGGCTTTCATTCAGGACTCATTGTTTACTGCTGTGATTGGCCCACAGCTATCACATGGTACAGGGTTCAGTGATTGACTCAAGGTACCTTGTGATCTCTAGTGAACAACCACAGATCACACACAGTAGTAAACAATGATGTCATTAAAGGATTACATTTGATGGCACAGCGATCATATGGTAGCTAGGTCACTCACAGAAGCCTGAAACTAAGCACCGCAATCCACTGTGTCTTGTAGAATTAAAAATTGCAGAGTGCGCTGGTGCATGCCACAGGGGGCACACAGTACACGAGCATTGCAATGTACTGATATGCTGTGGTTTCTGGGTTAGCTGCCGACCAGCAGTAAAATTACTGTTGGCCAGTTGGCAAGTGTTTAACCCTTGGCGCCGGTGCATCCGGCCCCTTTAAGGGTTTCAGAAGCCGGGGGGGTTTTAGGGTCATGTGACCACCGTGATTCACTGTCACAGCGGTCACATGATCAGGAAAGTTCCCGATCGCAAGAGGAGATTGGGACATTTCCGTGAGTACCAGACATGTGTGCTGGGAGCGCACAGGGGGCGCGCGCTCTCGGCACATATGTTTTTCTTAATTGCACGCAAATGTTTGGCCGCTCGGCATCAAGGCCCAGATGCCGGGAAGTCGCACATTTGCGTGCGGCTGGTTCGAAGAGGTCAAAGTGATTGTATAGGATGACTTTTTATTTTTACAAAATAGCAAACGTTATACTTACCTGCTCTGTGCAATGGTATTGCACAGAGCTGCCCTGATCCGCCTCTTCTCTGGTCCCCTGCAGGCAATCCTGGCTCCTCCCCCTGCCAAATATCCACCATACCAAGCTGCTTGCTATGGGGGCATTTATTGAATACATTTAAAATGCAGCAATTATGGACTTTCTAGGCACATAAATTCAGTACCACAGTATATAAAACTATATATTTCTTTTATTCATATAATCTAAAAAAGTATCAGTGATTTAAAAATATACATTGCATTATACATATATTCCAGTGTCTTCCCCCCAGAATTCCTGATATGGGCCATAGGTGGGAGTGAAGCAGTCCACTTTGTTCAGATATGGGGGGTTCCACTGTTATATTTGGCGCAACATTTGGCGAGACAGAGGTCGCTTCCTCAGGGGCTTGTAATGTATCTATGGAGTAAACACACAAATAAATACCAAAAGAGGGTAACAATAGCATAA